TGCGCCGGAATTGTCCTTTAAGGCATTTCATCAAATTTCTTGCAGCTCCCTACAGAACTTCATACAATGTTTTTCACATATACAGTAGAACGCCACAAGACACGTCAACAGACTTTGAGTGCAAAATCCAGGGACTTCCCCGTAACTGTTAAATTATACTCCAAGCATACCGATTTATTGCCCACTGAATAAACACAATATTTTATCACGGATTCTAACGACACCTCGGTCACATTAGTCTTTAATGTGAAAGCCACTCCATCGCCTTCAATATTTCTACCGTGGATTAATATGGCGGCTTGGCGAGCTACCGTCCTCCTTCCTGTTTCGATGCGATGACAAAATCATAGACGTCAGTCTCACACTCCATAGACCGAACAAGTATCAAAGCCTTTAGCAACACTAAAGCAGGCTGTGTTACAACAGCAAACAATCGTGCCCCCCTCTAGCTTTCAGTGTTGAGTAAGCCTTATGTTTAAATACTCTTTTAAGGTCAGCTCTCTCTGGTTTCAGCGGAGACTGTGCACGGGTTTGACTCCCTCACCCTGAAATGGCAAAGTGACTAAAGCAACTCCTCCCTATAAGAGTGTCTGTACAACTGTTTTAAGAGACAGACACGCTGTACTGTCCTTACAATGTTTGTGTTGCTTCATAAAGGGTCCATAAAAGGACATTCATTTGCAGCAATACAATAAGAGCAATAAAAGAACCATACACAGATTTATAATTGATTTAACATTTAAAGAGATGAGATGAATATTGATTTCAACTAGTAATCTTTTTCTTAAGTTAGTAAGTAATAAATCTGGGATTTGACATGATTCTCTAGAAACATCCAGCTTAGCATGTGGCACACACACACACACACACACACACACACACACACACAATGCATAAAAAACACAATGACTAAAATAACACCAATACAAAGGACGCTGTGCCGAAAATAAAGCTTTTAGGCTGGCAGAAACTATTAGTCATCTCTGAGAATAAACCATGCTCACAACAGGGATCCTAACTGACCAATCAAAATGTGCCTAAAAAATAAATATAGAGCCACCTACTTTATTAACAACAGTAAGGGGGCAGGTTTTGTTGGCTAACCTCCACATCATAGGTCTCCTTACACAATCAAGCTTGGTACCTACCAACAATTGTGGCTTTTTGAGGTTGCAGTCCAGCTTCTCTTTCTGCCACCACTCTCCATGTTCCTGAGCGTAGGAGTCATCTTACCCTCGACCCTTTCTATGTTTCCCTCTCCTCTCTCACCCCCCTCCTGTGCTCGGCTTTAGCCGGACAGTTCCAGTTCTCTTCCACGAATTTGCATAGGTACCCGATAGCAAAGAGTGTCCCCTTCACCGCTGTCTTTCCTCCTCTGCTTACCCCTCCGGATCTATCCTCATCTTAGGTGAGGAAACCGAAATGTTGATCTGGCTCTGAACTCACAGAGCACTGCCAGGACCTCCAACCTACCTACCTCTTTCTCGACTGCTGAGACTGGTAATCTACTGTTGGCATGTTCTGTGGTATTAAAATGTGTTACTGGGGCAAAGTGGGTGCCGGTATTAGTGAGTGCTAAATCACAGCACAAATAGGACAAGAGACGCTGTGAGAAAGGAGAGGTACCAATATGATAAATTATGTTTTAGGCTCCGTCCACACCAATGGGTGTAAATGCCCTTGTTGTATCCGTTTTGGCCTTCCATCCACTCGATGCTGCCGACTGACCGACGAAATCTTAATGAAAATGTTCTCCACAATAGAAATCTTTGAAAAACATAGAAGTTTTCCTGTTTTACTGTCTTACAGTATGAATCAAAGTAGAATTAATGTGGCTTTTAACATTAATTAACAGAAAACAACTTTTCATTCTTTTTGAAGACCAACACAATGACTGAAAAGTCTAATCCAACAACACATATATTACATAGATATATTATTAATAGTCATCTATATTTCATAGTACTAGCAGTCTGGGGAAGGTCTACA